ATCCTGTAACCCTTCTCACAGCTGCCATAACCCATAAAGATTCCTTTGCTTGCTTTGTCATCAAACTTCTGTCTAAGATTTGATGGAATGTGACTGTAACAGATGCTTCCAAACACTCTTAAGTGTTTTACACCAGGTTTTCTTCCTGTGAAAGCTTCAAATGGTGTTTTGTCTGTAACTGTAGTGGTATAGCACCTATTTTGCAGATACACAGCAGTACCAACTACTTCAGCCCAGAACTTTACAGGAATTTTCTTCTCAGTCATCATTGATCTTGCCATTTCACAGATGGTTCTGTTTCTTCTCTCAGCAACCCCATTTTGCTAAGGTGAGTAGGCAATAGTCAGTTGCCTCTCCATGCCAAGATCACTGCAATACTCAAGGAATTCATGTGAAGTGTATTCTCCACCTCTGTCACTTCTTAGTTTCTTTAGATTGAATCCACTTTGTAGCTCAACAAATGCTTTGAACTTTTTGAACACACTTATCACACTTGACTTGTTTTTGGGAAAATATACCCAACACATTCTTGAATAGTCATCAATGAATGTGATGAAGTATTTATTTCCTCCGATGGACTCATTTTGCATTGGACCACATACATCTGTGTGTATCAACTCAAGTGGATTTGTTGGCTCTCCAAGGCTTCTCATTCTCAAATGGTTCTCTGTGGCTTTTACCATACACACAGCCTTCACATAATCCTTCCTTTTATGAGAAATCAAGCAAGCCTAACACCATTTGTGTTTGCTGCATTTTTTCATGCTTGCAAAGTTCAAGTGCCCCAATCTTCTATGCCAAACCCATGGATCTTCTTGTACTGCTGCTTTCATTGCCTTTGAGCAGATAGATTCCATAGACAATGGAAAACATCTATTTCCAGCCATTTCAACTTTGGCAACAACATTATCAAGGCTGCTGTCATCACATATTAATGCATAGTTTCCTCCAAATAGAACGTAGTACCCATGCTCCAGCATTTGTCCTATACTCAACAAATTCTCATTCAGACCAGGGACCAGCAGCACTTCATTTATGTATCTTCTCCCTTTTCTTGTCTCAACTACAAGTGTCCCTTTTCCTGTGGCTTGAACAAGATCACCAGTGCCCATTTTCACTTTGCAGGTCACTGACATATCAAGATTGATCAATAAAGACTGTTGAGAGGTCATGTGGTTGCTGCATGCACTGTCAACAAACCACACAGACTTGCTTGATGCAATTGAACTTGCATGACAAGCATAGAACATTGTTCCTGTGGTTACCTCTTCTTCCTTTGCATAGTTTGCAACTTTTTTACCATTTTCACAGTCCTTAGTTAAATGGGCAAATCGACTGCACTTCCCTCACTTGGGTTTTCCTTTATATCTGCATATACCAAAATGGTATTTCTGGCACACTTGGCACTGTGGTTTCACACCATCTTGACTGCTACTTCCTTCTGATTTGTTTTGTGAATTGAAACTGTTGTTCCAATTCCCTCCAGAGCCATTATTCCAATTTGAGTTTCCACCTTGAGACCAATTCGAGCCTTTTTTGTTTTGTCCTTGCCATTTTTGATTTTGCTTTCCCTGAGAACTTTTGTTAGCTCCAGAAGCTTGATTATTTCCAACTCTGAGGCTGCTAAAAGCGATTTCAAGTTGTTTACAATTCCAAAAAATCGAGCAAAGTAGTCATCCAGAGATTCAGCATCATTCATTCTCAAATATTCAAAATCAGCTCTAATAGCTTGTAATTTCACAGCTCTTACCTTTTTATCTCCTCTGAACTCTCTTCTCAGAATTTCCCAAGCACCTTTTGCGGTCTTCTCATTTCTGATGCGAGGAAAGGGTTCATCTGTTAGTGCTCCTTGAATAAGACTCAAAGCCTTGGCATTTTTTATCTTATCTTCTTTGGAGATAGTAGGTGCTTCCACTGGGATTTGCACAGTCTCACCTTCTTCTCCTTCAGAGCCTTCTTCCTCCTCAATAATCGGCTGTGGTTGTACTCCAATCTCCACTGCATCCCATAGATCATATGCTATGAGAATAGTCTCCATTTTTACTGACCAAAAATCATAGTTTGCACCATTAAACTGTGGAGTTCGTAAATCTCCACCTGTAGAACCTGATCCCACCATTTTTATGTGAGTCTCAGTGAACCACACAATAAAAGAGCAACCTTTATCCTTTTTAGAGATTTCAGGAAACCCCCCTTTCTCACAGCTCACGCCCCTTCTATGAAATTAGACCTAGAGCTCTGATACCATGTTAGAATTTGGCCTGTAGCTTTCTGGTTTTACTGATTGATTTTCAGAAAGAAAATAAAATCTTTTACAAAACTTATGCAGAGGAGAAAAGAAACTCAGAGAGAATAATAAAGTTTCAGTATATTTTCTTGTATTGCATCAGATCTGCCTAAAACACAGACTATATGCATGACACAATCTGTCAAAAACAGATCCTAAGAAATCTAGGACACAAGGATTCATCTCCAGCCATTCAAGGTCATTGGAGGCTACGATTCTTACACCTAGGCTAGAAATCGTTACAGCAGATAGGACTAAGACAGCTAAGAATGACAGCTGTAGAGTTTCCCAAAATAGTAAGAAAACTAGCCGTTGGACATAACCTATAACGGCTATTACTATAAAAGGAAAGTTCTTCAGCTCCTTCGATTTCTTCATCCTCTTCACTGTCAATCTGCAGGATTAACATCTGCAGCTTGATTCGAGGCTAGTATGCAGCTTAACTCTCAACATTTACATTGTTTTCCTTCTCCAGCGAAGGCTTTGCAATATCTGCATCACCTCGGGATTGTACATAGGGATGTGAAACCGGCAAATATTCTTGTAAATGCCTTCCTTTAAGTATCTTCTTCTGTAGCAAACAGAAATCTTCTTTTGACTAGTTTTGGACGAATTTAACTAATATTATACCTTTACGATGCAGCTGGACAAAGATCTTTATCCACACTTAGCAGACTTTGGTTTGGCTGAGTACAAGAAAGATCTTAAAGGAGTTTCTATTGGGAATTGGAGGTCATCTGGAAAACCTGCTGGTGGTTTCCACAAAAAAAAGCCATGGTTGGCACACTCATTTACATGGCACCTGAAATACTAAAGAAGGAAATACATACAGAAAAATCAGATGTCTAGAACTTTGGTATATCAATTAAGTAAGGATTTAAGATTTGATTATGCTAAAAACTAGCAAATTTTATTCTACTTAGATCTATGCCTACAAGACAAATGTAACTGAAGTTGTGTTCTTTCAAGTGACGCTGTTTGCTGTTTGTTATGGATTTTGAATTGAGCCTTAGAACCTTTAGGACCTTTCAGGGAACCTAAATATTCTTAATGGACAAAGTTTCTATATGGTATTTGTACCTACCCTTAGGACCTTTAACTTGTGTGGAGATGCTAATCAGACTTTTGACTTTGCTGATAAAGTATGTTGATGCCGAAGTTTGGATCAACATCAAAATAAGATCATGCAATCCTAGAACCAGGGTAGCTGTGGTATTAATTATTTAAATCACTTTCAATACATATCCCAATTAAACCCAAGTCACTCTCTTACTTACTGTGTTTAAAATGAGTGTAATTGAGACATCTCAATAGAGGTAAAATTGATGTCATAATGTTGAATGGTCTTTGCCGGATTCTTGAGTTGAAGAGCTGTCTTTATATTGGAGAGGGAGAGTCCTTTTCACAGAAGTAGGATTCCTTCAGAGAGTAATTTGGGAATGAATTTCTGTCCATTTTTGTCCAATATTGGAGGGATTTACCCTTTAGATATGGATTCTAAAGTCAACTATTCAATGAAAACTAATCTCCCCAACACTTCCTCTCAAATTGGTGCAAAGATATCACTAGTTCCAACTTGTTCAGTGTAGAATAGAAAAACATTATTATACACCGCCTTAGTTACGATATATGTTAGACTGTGAGTTGATCTGCGGTTTTCATGAATGGGTGCAAATAATCTCTTATGTCAAATTTTCCTTTATAAAGTGTCTCCACCTCAACATGCTTAGTGTTTACACCATAATCAACCGAGCATATCTAGCACCAAACCGACTAGCACCAAGGCAGACAAGCCTTCTCCCCTGCCGAAGGAAGACACTCTTCCGAGGTGCCAGACACCTGCCGAAGCTCCCGACTGCTGAAAGTCCTAATTGTTGAACCTAATCTCAAGGACACGTGTCACCACCACAGCGACTTGCACAAAGTCCCACATTGGAAATCTACACAAACCTCCCACTTTCACTTCCCTATAAATAGGGAACAATACCCTAGTAAAAAGGGTATCTAATTTCTCACCTTTACAGTTACTCTGCCAAAATTATCACTTATAGCTGACTTAAGCATCGGAGAGCCTTCGGCCGGCACCACACCGGTGTCCGAAGCTTAACGACTGCTTCTCCTACTTTGTCTTCTGCCGGGTACCCAGCTACCGAAGGTCCTAGCCCCTTTTTCTAGCCATCTTTCCTGCTGAAGACAATCCCCTTCTCTCTAAGTTGACCCTCTCTCAAAAAGAGCATCAACACTTAGTATTTTCATTTTTAACCGGATTGTGTTCAATGTTAATTTGTTGTTGCAGAAGAGTTCCATTGGTTTCTCAAGAAAGATTCGCTCATCAAGCCCCTCTACTGTCACAGATTCTTGAGCCATGGCTCTAAATTCTGTCTCTGCACTGACCAATTCTTGCTACGCTATGTTTCCTCCTACAAAATTACAATTTCCAGAACTCGACCATCGATCTATAATAGAACCTGTTTGCATATGTGTCTTGTTCAACATCTTGGTGCCAATAGTTCGTAGAAAGTAATAACCGTTTACGTGTGCGTGCGAAACAAATACATAGACTTCAATTGAATAATTATGGTAAATATATATAAATCCACAGTCAAGGACCATTCTTGCAAGATACTATAATATAGTACTTGCAAAATTTGAATTATAGATGTAGTTGAATCATAGTGAATAGTAACATTGTGATAATTACTATTTATACTGGTAATTCATTATTAATGCTACTATTGTATAGAAAAATACACTACTACATTTTTGTGTTTGCGCGATGAAGACATTTTCGTCACGCAAAGTATATTTGTGTCGCACAAATATTAGTGCGACAGAATATTCATCGCGCAAAATGTGTCGCGCAAAGATCATCAAGAATGACTTTGCGCGACGAACATAAAAAATTAGTCGCGCAAATGGAGCGACGGTATACTTTCGTTGCACAAAAAGTCGCGGGACGGTGAGATTTGTCGTTGGACAAACTTTTGCGTGACGAAAATATGTTCGTTGCACTAATCCAGCGGGGTGAGAGACTGTTCGTGGCGAAATAATTTGCGCGACGAAATGACAGTCATTGCAAGAACATGGCACGAGGATGGGTCTTCGTCGCACACGTATAGCGGGACAAGAGGTTTCGTGACTCAAATATTTGCGCGACGAAAAGTATTTGTTGCATTGTAAGGATTGTATTTTTATGTTTGGCTCTTCTCTTGTAATTCCACAAAACCATTGTATTAATTCTTAGTTTCTAAGATAGTTTAGAGGTTAAGACTGAAATAGATTGAAGATCATCACAGTCATCACGTTGCTGCCAAAGGTAAAACTCATATGCATTTTCACTGGATTAATACATGATCACGTGTATTGATCCAACGTTCTTTTTTGCCTTTTGCTTCCTTACTGGATTCATACGTGGTCTTGCGTATTAATCCAACCTTCGTCTTTTGCATGCCGTTAACAAACGTTCTGTTTAAATCAGCCTTGATAGTTTTTATAAAATTCTTCCCATCCTTAAAACTGACAAACACATGAGAGTAACTCACTTGCTCTCTAACGGTTTTGTTTTCTTGGTTCAAAGTTCTTCTTTTTGTTTATTAGTTTAAACCCATTCCTCTTGGTTGCTGTCACTCTCTCCAAGTAAATAGGTTTTAAACTATCTCTTCAGACTTTGCCCAAGGTGCCGTTTCTTGTGTTTAGTAAACAGACAACACTTGCTTTTTGTTTATTCTTTTTCTGACTTGCTTTGTCTTGCACGGTCCTTGGTTTATTCTCTTTTGGTCAGCAGCCTGTTTTTAAACTGAGTTTCTCAAGCTCCCTATATATGCTTCTTGCTGATCAGTTTTTGTTTAAGGCTTCAGCCCATGCATTGCTAATAANNAGAGTCTGATCCAAGGTTTCAGTCAGGATTTGAAACCCTGCATCCTGCGGAGGAGCCACGGATTCGAGCGGCGTATCGGGAGGAAGCTAGGAGGCAGAGTCAAGAAGAACCGACTGGCTCTTCTGAATCATCGTCGTCTGTTGATACATAACATAAAATATTAATTAAAACATTCATATAATAACCATAAAACTTGAACGCGTAAGATAATAATTTAAATTAAAGGCTACTTACATGAAGGGACTCCGCCAACTCATTCCCAGGTTGAACATAAACATCGCCAAAGACGTCAATCTCTGGGAATTTGGACCCCCCCTTAAATTGAACAAGATAAGAAAAATGTTAGTACGAAAAAAAACAATTTCATATTAATGACATATTAAAAAATAAAAATAAAAGACTTTATTATTACCCGGCGCCACGCCTCCATCCTATAGGTGAAGGGTCTAGAACCTGAATGGTGGAGAAGAGCCTTCCTCTGCCTATTGCTCTTATTTGCTTTGGCCTTCTTCTGTTATACAAAAAATAAAACGTATTAGTTGAAAGTGAAATGAAATATAAAAAATTAAATACACATTAGTAAGAAACGTGTAATAAGTTTCAACTTAATAAAAAAAAAATACCACATAATCGGCCTCTTGAAAATGACCGCAGAGCCACTGCCAACTATCCTCCCGGCCCTCAAGCTCCTTCGGGCAACCCTCCTGAAGAGCGACCTGCGGATCATCATATGCCTGAAAAAGGTGGTGCAGGTCGCTCTTCCACTGCTTGTACCTCTCAGCAAAGAGTCTGTTGACGTACGCCAACAACTCCTCACTGACGTTCTCTAAATTGTAGTTTGTCTACAATAAATTTATTACATGCATGAAGTATTCAAAATAAAATTTGAAGGGAAAACAATTAAAAGGTATAGAATACATACCGACAGCTATCCGAACACCTCCTTCCGCACCTCGTCAGGCATGACCTTCCAAGACTTCCATTTCATCGGGCAATAAGTCCGAACGACGGATCCAATGTCGTGGGCCAAGGAGCTATGCTGGTCCGCCGTTGGTGCAGCCCGATGCCCCTTCCGTCGCGCAAAATCCAATTTAACGAAGAGCAAAGACGTGCCGACATCACATCTTTACGCGACGACGATCTTATATCCGTACCGCAAAGTTTAGTCGTGCAAATGCACTGTGTCGTCGCGCAAAACCCAACTTTGACGACATTCACCTTACGCGACTAATAGGCCCGTCGTCGCGCAAAAATTTGGAGCCAAAAAAGCTGAACCACTGTTTGTTTTCCCGCGGTTTTTTTAGCGCGACATGAACGTTTTTGGTCGCGCTAAATATATTTGCGCGACGAATATTGCGTCGCGCAAGTTTTGCCTCCAAATCTAACTTTCCGGGAGTTTTTTTCCCTATGTTTGCGTGACGGTGGAATGATTGTCGCTCAAAGTATACTAGCGCGACAAATGTTTTAGTCATGAACGTTAAAAAATATAAAATTATTATCCATGGAAGTTTGTGCGATGCATGCATTTTTTCGTTGCGCAAAACATCATATTGCGACGAATATGTGTTCGTTGCGCAAACTAAAAAATGTAGTAGTGTTATGATTGAACTTGTGAATTATTGTTTGCTATTGCTTCTGTTTTTAGATTTATTTTTTTTTGCTTTTTGCATCTACTCTCCTGTTCTAGATTTAAGATTTACTTTCCTGACTAGAATTTTTATTTTTTTTAGATTTATAATTTAAGTGGAACAAGGACTAATTGTTCTGGCTCTCTTTGAAAGACACTCACGAAATGATCAGTTAATATGACACAAATAACAACACTCTTTAAAATAACATAGTGCAACATGATTAACTATCCTTGTGACAAACCCATTAGCGTGAACTCCAAAAGAGGGCATGTCCTTCTGTCATGGTTTTGTGCAGTTCGAATGTACTACCATAATTTCCAAACTAAGCGCAGTTCAAGCC